TGAAACTTGGTGGGATTATATCCTGGTCCAATAAAACCAGGCTTCTGATTCGGTTTTTTTATTTAGGCCTTTTTAGGGATTTTATGACTTCAAAAGTCAAACAATTCAAAAATTAATGTTTTGAGCTCCTATGTTGTCATATTTACAGCAACCAAGATGAAAATTGGCGTAAATATAAATTTTCATGAGCCCAATAGATTGACTTACAAAAAATTATATTTAGGTATTTTGAGTCTTTTTAGGGGAATCAGAGCTCACAAAAAGCATATTTTGGGAGTTTTGGTCAATTACTCGACCATGTTTTGATCATTCTACATGGGATTTGGAACAAAGACACTTTTCTACAGGTCCCACACATCGACAAACGAAAATGGTAGACTTGCACATTTTTAGTAATTATAGGTGTTCATGATACACCAAAAATACAATTTTATGTGTTTTTGACAATTGCTTATCCTTGATTCGACCAATTTGTATGGAACTTGGTAGAAAGGTACTATTTCCAGGTCCTAAGGAGAATTTTGGAATTTTTGTTTTTTTCTCAATTTTTTAGTGAGGAAAGTACAATTTGGGATTTTTATGAACTAATTATAAATATGTCAACCAATGTACATGGGATTTAGTACAAAGATACATTATTGCAAGTCCACATCAGTGATATAGACAGTTTTCGATTTTTCTGGTGTCGAAATTGGTCATGTTAATTAGGATTGTATGGCGGAGACATGCTGCATTTGCTCGCGAATGTTAGCCTCTTTAATTAATTTACGATTTAACTTAACTTATAATATCGATCTGTTGGGTAAGAGCCCAAGCTAATGAAGTCGTAATGGTTAAACGTTGGTATGATTAAATAACTTATTTCTGAAGTACTGTGATCGTTTTCATATAGTCTTATATGTATAGACTTGTTACTAAAAACGTATACAGTACTCTAGTGAACATTCAGAAGGTCCTTGTTGATCTTGTGGTAGAGGTCTAGATTTTGGAGCTCCGTGTAATACCATAAAATATTTCCTTCACTTTAAGCTATGTGAGCGTTATAAGAGTGACAGTTAATCTGTTAGCGTGGATGGTGGTTGCTACTGACTGACTGACTGCCACCCCTCTAGTCAGTAGTTCAAAATTAGAGGCATCAGCAGATAGCATTGGTAGCTTTGCCATGAATACTAGAATATATATATATATATATTTAAAAACAGTACTCCAAGATCAAAAGAATAGATCATTCCAAAACATCATCGAAAAACTAGTAATGTAACCGCTATTTAGTTAATCGAAACCATGAAACTTACAAGAACTAAAGTTGAAATTTCGATGTTTTCTGGCAGTCTTTTATCATTGATAAATCCAATAAAATATCGAAACGAATAATGATGTTATTCATATTCTCTTTGTAAAGAAAGTTAAAATATCTTATTAAAAAGAAGAGAAATCAAACTTTTGTATGGAAAATGTTGAACAAACCGTATATTTCTTGAACCAGTTAAATTCCACTAAATCTAAAATATCTAATACTGAAAAATGAGATTGCCAAAAAAAAAAACATTCCGGAAACGTGAAGATTGTGAGACGTAACAGATACAAGCAAGAGTATTCAACTTTCTAGTTATTCCATAAATATGCATGCTTCACACATACGTATATATACGAAAAACAAAAAATTTTTTGATTAAGTTTATCCAAATATCCGATACCACTCTATCACTTCAAACCAAATGTCCGTCAATCGCACTTACTACGATAGCATACAACTAGAGGTATCATGTCATTTGTTCATCAAACATTCAACAAAGTGTATTGGTAACAATACATTAAGTGACACTGCTAAAGACTACAGTTAATAGTCACTTAACATATTAAACATAGCTAACGTCCTATTACAACACAGCTAACATCCTATTACAACACAACTAACATCCTACTACAACGCGCTTTCAACAAGACGCATTAACTCAAAAGCTTCGATGATGTCATCTAATTTGGGATCTCAATCTGACGATATGGAAACCTCACAGATTCAACCCATAACTTTACATCCTCCTACAACCAACCTAGAATTTCCTTTTTACAGAGTTAAATTTCAGCCTTTCAAGTGTCTCTTCAACTTCAGAAGAAACTATTTCTGGACTTAATAAAAACATCAAAAGTATTGTCAAACACCATGCAAAGCATTGTTATAAGAGAAATATCAGTCATAAAGAAATAAAATACGTTACATGATAAAAGCTAACTTAATTATAAAAAAAAACAGGTGATAATAAAATATTTATCATGATAAATACTACCTATGAGAATAAAATCATGGAATATCTTAATGATTCTACAAAATAGATCCCACTCCAAACCAGCCCCACCTATAAAACTAAATAGTTACTAAAATTTGGCTTAAGAATGTACCCTATCAGAGCAGCTTCTACAAGATTTAAAATCACCAAAAGCTGTTCATAAGAGCTCTGAGGTATACCTGAAAACCGTAAACTTTACATGTCATTAATGTCATTCGTACATGCATATGGTTCAAGACCACCTGTTAAAATATGTACTGATACACTTGTATAACACTCGGGACTTTTTTTATCTAAGATTAAACAGAAAAGAAAAAAACAGACAAAAATAAATACATCATATAAGATTGTTTCGTTCATCTTGAACATCGTTGCTTTATATCATTCCATTCCTTATTTGTGCGGTTTTAAACTTCATCTCCGTACATACTTTGAAATATTTCAATTTAGCACAATAACATCGTCTCTATTTTAAATTTATTCATTACAACTGGTAACTTTCGTTTAGCAAACCTCCTCACCACTCCGGTGGCTAAGCGGTAAGTCTGGGGCTTATAATGCTAAAAGCCACGTTTTGATATCCTCCACAACGAGCAGATAACAGATAGCTCGTTTTGTAGCTTTGTGATTAACAGCAACCAAGCAAATAAAAGGTTCTGGTAACAATCTTTACAAACAATCAACAGAGCAGAGACAATTGAGTTGCTGTTACCTTCGAATTTATTTTTATGTACAGGCATAGTTGATGCTCTAAACTGTTGGTTCACAGATACTAATTCGAAACCGGATATGTGTTTCAGATACATATATGATATTTATGATGTATGGAATTATGGATTTGATAACCTAAAATATTTCAGTGACTTTATAAACACATTTTACCAAAATATCAAATTTACCCTCAGATATTCTTATATTGAGTATAAAATGATATGTATGATGTTACAGTAGCCTTGAATAATAGTGAAATAACCTTTGTACCTTACCGGAAACCCATGATGGAATCTCTTTTTCTAAATAATGAATCGTCATCATGATGCTGTTAAACGTGGTAGAAATACTGCTGAACTGAAACTTATTGACAGAAATTCCACCAATATCGGTTTAAAACTAGAAGATCGCAAAAATTTTAATTCATTTTTAATTTAACTATACAGAGAAAATTATGAACAAAAATCGTTTATTAGCTAGTGCCATGAAGAGAAATTGAAACCAATAGTCGTATCTATTATCCAGTACATCAATACCCACTTCACCACAGATATACAAAAAGCAGTAAAAAATCTGGTTCCGATTAGAGGTGTACAAAAACTCTTTAACACTCTACAACATACCCTAACAAATTACAGTCGTAAAAGGTGTAAATATATACTTGCTAGTGCTGGAGATTATTGTGTTGTTTCTAATGTGTACTTTACGAATTAAAATGTGTTGCTAAACATTTCGATGTGATTTACAAATTTCAACCACACAGAAGACCCGCAGCGAAACACATCTATATTAAACAGCCATTCTCTAACTCATTACTGATCTTCCTTACACAGTCGGAACACTTGCCAAGGCAAAGTTTCATTGAACTAAAATACACAGATGTGTTATTAATTCATCGACTCCCACATACAATCAACAGGTGGAAAGGGTGGCGTTCATAATACAATAGATATTGAGTGTTTATTTCTAAACCTTTTTAAACAAATTCCTTATCTATGTGTACTATGTTGTTGTTACTCTTATAGTAATAATAATTCTCTGTTATTAAGTTTTTCTAACAATGTTTTTTCTCTAGTGTTAGTTGTGTCCCAGCTGGCCTGATAAGCTCTAGATTGAGAAAAATGGATCGTCGGAATGGATATGGCAAATATAGTACGGTTGGAATGCTATTATTATACACTCTTCTAATTCCTGAAAATCTCTAAAGGACTAGGTAAGTTATGTAGTGTTTAAATATTATAGGCCTAATAATAATGCCTTATGACAAATACAATTACATCTAATTTAATTTACCATACTGATCTGTCCTCTAAGAGTCCTGATTGTGAAATTGTATTAATATTACAATTGATTTGCTTTGTCTTATTAATTATTGCTTACCTAATAAGATGACTGGTTTGTTATTGTGATATTTATTTGACACAATGATTTCTTAATTAATTAATTAACTTTATAAATTCTTACATTCAACTAGCACCATGATTAATTTGTCAGGTTAATTAATGGTATTTTACAATTACCATTGTGATATTTATTTAATAGAGTAATTAGTTGTTTGGCTGATTAGGTGTCATCTTTCAATAATACTATAGTTGGCTTTTTATGCATATTAACTATTGTATTTAATTAATACTGTAATTGGTTTCTTAGATTGAGCAACTATGTCCTTCAATTAACACTTTAGTTTTCATCAACACTATGATAGGTTTTTATCCTGATTAATTAATGTCCTCTAAATAACACTATGATTACTGTTTAGGTAGATTATTTGTTGTCTTTAATGAACAGTATGATTGATTTGTCAGACTGATTAATATATATCTTTAAAAACACTATGAATAGTTTGTGAGGCAGGTTAATTGTGGTTTTTAATAGTATGATTGATTTGTATGAAATGATCAACTTTGACCTTTAGTTAATAATATGACAACTATAAAACTGGATATATTTTAATAAATTGGTCAATTTAAGTAACAACACAAGTTTTAAAACTAGGCTTACCTTGAAACTCTTTTCTAGCGGCACTAACGTTTGTCACAATATTAGCCACGTGGCCCAGGACAGCAGCAAAGAGAAATAATCCAAATACCAGTTCCAGTACAAGAAAGAGGTACTCTTCTGTAGTCCTCGGCCGGGGTAGGTCTCCTATTGTCGTCCAGGCCAGCGTGCTCCAATAAAAGGAGTGAAGATATTCACAAAGGACATCGATGCAGTTTTCACCACGTGGATTAAACCAATTGCGCGAACCAAACCCACCATTTATAGAGATGATGTGAAACAGACAAGCATTCCAATGAAATATAACCAGGAGATAGTGGATAAGAGAGAGAGTTCGAAAGATGTTTGGATAGTTGGTGTGTCTCTCTGTTCTATCGAGGAAAGCCCAAAAGCGATAAATCTTTACCAGACGAAGGCACCGAAGAATCGAGTTAAAACCAATGGATAGATACAGAAAGTCTAATGGGAGAAGACACAGACAATCAATGTAAAACATGGTAGAGTTCATGTAGTGTTTTCTGAGTTTGTCATAGTCCGTCTGCAAAACCCCTTCTTCTAAATATCCAGTCTGAAAATGGAAACAGATATCAATAACGTAAAGGAAATCAGCAATATAATCCAGAGTAAACCAGGCCACTATAGTTTGTGTATTAATCTCTTGGAAGGCAAAACGATAGATAATCACCCAGAAATTATAGAGGAAAGCCACACTTACAATCATGGACCAATAATAACAAAGTCTACCCGATGGATCAAGAACAAAATTCCAACTACAACCGTTTCTGTCGCTGCCTGAAGTTGATGTTTCCCACTTCTCAAACTCTCTCTTGATCTCCTTTCTCCTTTGCTCTCTTGTTTTGCGAGAAATTTCTAATTCGGGATTGTGGCGAACTTTATTCACGAAGGTCATGGAGTCACGTGATCGGCGCTTTATATCTCCCGTGTAGAGTTTACTGGCCACAGTTTCCAGGAGGCTTTGTCTCGATGCCGATTTCGTTTTCAAGTTTTCGGAAGATTTAGTAGACTTAAGGGGTGAGACTGTGCGCATGCGTGGGCTACTGACAGTAAGTCGCTGTTCCGACAAGACCCGCGCGCTCTCTGTGCGTGTAGAGGTGATGATACCTGGGATCACACGAGGCCCGTTACAGGTTAGAGTACCTCTCCCATATTTAACATTCTCCGGTGCAGCATTACTGACAACTGCGATTTCACCCAGATCTTCATCAAATGGTTTTCCCTGTTTAATATAAGCTGTAGATTTAACAATATTCGCTGATTCTATGTTCTTTTTCATATTCGGCATAGACATACGCTTCATAGCTTCAGTGTCCTGTGTAATGTACACAACTCTATTCTAAATATAAAAAAAAAATATCTGTGAGCAATTAAATAACGGATGTCAGAACTTTGGCAAATTTGCATGAATGTTATTCTAAACTGTCAACGTGACTGTTTCAACCAGTATAGAGAATATAATACAATAATTTCAGTTTAAACCATCAAATATTGTCTCATCAAAGTACGTATTTGAAACAAAGTAATTATGTTCGAAATAAAGACATTTCCTGGAAAACGGTTCCAAGAATCTTTTATTGACCTTTGCTACATGTCTGTCAATGTAGAACTTTTATAGAAATAAAATCTCTTTAATGGTTTAGGGTTTTAATTCATAAAATAACATGTCGCAACCGTGTTTTTATAAATATTCGATAGTAAATTGCGTTTCTTCGTAGTCCATCTTCGCGTGTAACAGGTGTTCCTTTAACACGGAGGACCAGGTATAAGCATTTTACTTTGCTAGCCCTTACTCACTTTGAAAGCATTGAAAAAAAACAAATACTTTACTTAGTTGAAGTAATCTCGAAGAATGCGCATTATCAATCTATTGTTATTGCGTTTGAAGTTATTATTATGAAATACATTCATCTTTTTTACGAAGCTGGTTGTTTATGTCACTTTTGAAAAACTTCTCATAATTATATCGTAAAGATTATGAACTAGGAGAGTGAGATCAATGAAAAAAAAAACATTTTGGCCAACGAAGAAGAAGCCGTCAGACCTTCCCATAAAATTTCATTAACTAACCGTTATAATACTTCTTTGAAGAACTTCTTATTACCTGTGTGAACGACTACTTGTTATGGTTTCTCTTTGTTTCCATGGAAAATATAGCTGAAGAAAAAGATCCTTATCACAACATACAAAAACATTGAACACAGACACTTACCACGCTTATTCTAAGCCCCGTTGAAAGAGACTCAAACAAATTATTTAAATAAGATCGACGTACGAGATGCTCAAAAAGCTGCAATATCACTGAAATGATTAATTTGATATACCTAGCAGATTGTGTGTCACGTGTAATAAAAGATCAACGTGTGTGGCTGAATACACGTGCTGGTCTTATAGCAGGGGCTGGGATAGCTCACTTTTGTCAAAGGGAGTGCTGCTTTAAAGGAGGAAAGTAAACAGATAGTACTGATTGACTTAAGGTTAAAAACTATAAAAATGATCATTATAATGCTGATATTATAGTTATATGGTTCTTATGTTTTACATTTCGAGACTAAAGTAAAATATACCTTACATACTTTACTTGTCTAAATGCTCGAAAAAATACATCACGAAGAATTTAGGTATTGATAAAAATCCGAATGAGCTTTAATTATCAATTTATTTTCAAACTATTAGTTCTTTTTGAGGAAAAATAATAAAAGGATAAATAACATATATGTATGTATGTATGTATGTGTACATAATCAAACTTTAAAATTATCACAATTCTAGGAGAATATGAAATGGCACCCAACTTATGTGTAGTATTTGTTTGTTTGTTTTGAATTTCGAGCAAAGCTACACGAGAGCTATCTGCGCTAGTCGTCCCTAATTTAGCAGTGTAAGACTAGAGTGAAGGCAGCTAGTCATCACCACACACCGCCAACTCTTGGGTTACTCTTTTACTAACGATTAGTGGGATTGATCGTTACATTATAACGCATCCACGGCTGAAAAGGCGAGCATGTTTTGGTGGGACGGGGATTCGAACTCGCGACCCGCAGATTGCAAGTCGAGTGCCCCAACCACCTGGACATGCCGGGCCTTATGTGTAGTAATAATGTCTAAAAATTACTATAAATCTGAAATATGATAAATACACTCACACACACATATATATATATATTTACATAGCAATAACCATACATTCATATTTAACAACGTCATGTGTAAATTATCAACAACACAATACAACGAAGTAAAACAATGAAATATCTTTAGGCTCAGGAAATATTTGTTACCAACAATTAAATCCGGGCCTCTAATAAGTTTAGTTTCGTACATCTGTTGTTGCACAATAGAATCTCAGTCACGTTGGTGTATAACTGAAGAGTGTGTTCAACTTTATGTCACTTCTAGCATGCAAGTATACACTATACACCCCTTTTGGTTTTGACATTTGTTTTTATTTTGTATTTGGGCGTATTTGGGTTAAATTTTTAGATTTATATAAATATATATACAATATTAATATTAAGTCGTCAAGAAATTAATGTCGCTTTTTTTAGATGACAAAACCCGAAAAACTTATATATTAAAACAAAACATTTATCAAATGAAATAGTCCCCATTCTTATCGATGATGCTTTTCCATCTTACAATCAGGTTGTTAATGCCCTGATTAAATAAATCACTTGGCTTTGAAGCAAAAAACATGTCGATGTCCTCTTTAACACCTCTCACATTTGCAAACTTTTTTCAATTAAGATGGTGTTGCAGCGAACTAAAAATATAGTAACCTGATGGTGCCATATCTGGAGAATATGGTTGGTGGGGGAGAACTTCCCAACCCAATCCCATGATGTTGTGTTGCGTCAAACGTACCACATGTGGACGTGCATTGTCGTGGAGAAGAAGAACGCCTTTCCGATTGACGAGTGAAGGGCGTTTCTGATGAAGGGCTTGATTTAAACGTTCCAGTTGCTGACTATAGATATCTGCATTGACAGTTCGCTGTGGATTGAGGAGTTCGAAATGAATTACTCCTTTGATGTCCTAACAAATGCAAAGCATCACTTTCTGCGGATGGAGTCCAGGTTTTGGAGTCGGTTTTTTTCTCTGGGACTAAGCCATTGTTTTTGGCGTTTAATATTCGCATAGACAATCTATTTTTCAACACCGGTGACAATTCTGTCCAAACATGGTTCACATGCATTACGCACCAGAAGAGACGAAACAACGTTCACATGTTGGAAATGACGATCATCGGAGAGTTCGTGAGGCACCAAACCACCTTCTTTATGGAGTTTTCCCATGTTCCTTAGATGTTTACGTATTGTTTCATGAGAGATATGCTATTTCAGGGCCATTTCACGAGTGTGTTGCCTTGGGTTTTGACTCAACAAGCGTTTTCAAGCATCAATATCAATTCCAACATGTCGGCCCCTGCCATCACAGTTTTAAGGCTAAAGTCACCTGAACAAAATTTGCTGAACCATCGTTGACACTTACGAACGTTCAAAACATTTCCATAAACTTCTTTGATATTCTTCGTGGCTACAGAGGCGTTGTTTCCCTTCTGGCATTGTTTGTTTGTTTGTTTTTGAATTTCGCGCAAAGCTACACGAAGGCTATCTGCGCTAGCCGTCCCTAATTTAGCAGCGTAAGACTAGAGGGAAGGCAGCTAGTCATCACCACCCACCGCCAACTCTTGGACTACTCTTTTACCAACGAATAATGGGATTGACCGTCATATTATAACGCCCCCACAGCTGAAAGGGCGAGCATGTTTGGTGTGACGGGGATTCGAACCCGCGACCCTCAGATTGCGAGTCGAGCGCCCTAACCGCCGGGCCTTCTGGTATTGAAACAGCATTACATGCCGAATGTGTGTCTCGTCGTGTGCCATCACTATAAGGGATTAGAGTAGACTAAACTTTACACATTATATAGGCTACACTAACGTAACGTTTAGGCGGTTCGTTTAACTATTATACGTGATGTATGTTTTTTTTGGAGGGGGGGGGGTGGTTAATGAAAGTGTTCCAAAATGTAACATTAATTTCTTGACGACCCAATATATAATGATTGGTAGCACCTGTAAAAATAGTTTGCAGCAGAATTTAACTTGTAGTGTTGGACTACAATAATAGTCTTGAAGTCATACTGATAAATAGTATCCGTACTTTTATATTATTTTCTTTGCATAAAAATCGTCGTGAAAAGCGACACGCTTTCTATAATCAACACCCAATAATCAAAATCAATTAATTGTTCTAAAACTACTGGTGGCACATGTAATTCTATTAATACTGATGGTAAAATTGATAATTTTCTAGTTCTGTAGTAATAGAAGTGGTTGGTTACTAGCCATGTAGCACTATAGACTATTAGTTAAATAAAGTAACGTTGTTCGATACTCATAAGTTTGTAGTAAAAATTGGCTGGTTTATAACAACATGGTTATATTAGCTAGTAGTTATAAGTGCGTAGTAAAACTTAGTAGGTGTGAAACGAAACTTAATAATAGCAAACGATCCAGAAACTTTCTGTCTATTTAAGTTCACTTTATCGTAATCTCTATCAGCAATCTGTAATATGTGTATCTCAGTTTTACACTTTTCTGTTAATTTGTTTGTCTGTAAAAATGAACATTGATTACGATCATTTACAGTAAAAACACATATCAACAAGAACTAATCATATAATTTATATATCTTCCACACTTATATGTTTGAGGGAAAACTTCATTGTATCCTCCGCAGGGGATCGAACGACAATTTAAAGTGTTATAAGCTCTCAAGTTTATCGCTGAACTACAGAAGATATCTTCTAAAGATAATAATTTCTGTAATAATAATCTTTGATTTTTCCCTAATTCATTTTCTTGCAGACCACCAGTTTTCATCTACTGTAAACGCGATGTGATCATATCTTAGCAGCTATGTAATAAGTTGTATCTTACATGACAGCAAGTTTTTGAAAGAATATTTCTGTACTTGTGTCTGTATAATAAAATTATGACAGAAACCAAAATATATTTTCCTGCATTCAAGTTATCTTTCCAATACTATTTCTAACCACCTGAGAACAAGAAGTTAAGTAATTATTCTTAACATACTTAATTATGCTAATGAAATAAACTGTGTTAACTCATAGCAGTGAATGTGTTAACTAGATATAAAAATATTATAATCGAAGGTACTTCTTAGAGTGAAAAAAGCCAATGTTATACGAAAACAATTGTAAAAGAATAAACCAGTGCAATGCATAAAATTATGAAATTAGATTGTCTCATATGGCCAAATATCTTAAATGTTTGTAATTATAATCGTAGTAATGTCTTTTATTTAATTTTCTTTAAGAGTATTTATCTTTATGAAAATCTTAAATTTTCTAATTTTGAGTTTCTTTGTTTATTTTGTTGTTAAGCACAAACTACACAATGGGCTACTTGATCTGCGCAGTGCCAACCACGGATAACGGAAACTCCTATGTTCATTTTCAGAATTTCAACGCAGAAATGTGAATAATGTTCTATAGTAAACCTTAATAACAACACATTTCCGAAAATTCCATTGTTCAGAAAAGCAAAATAGATTGAGAGAGAAAGACTGGCATTTCTGACAGAAAATAGTTTTACAATGATAAAGAAACGATTAAACTATTTCTACAACATGTTTTATGCTTAGAAAGAAACTATCTTCTACCGACTGGTTTGTTTGTTTCTTAATATTTAAGCACAAAGCTGCACGATGTGCTGTCTCTGCTCTGCCCGCTACGGGTATGGTAACCCGGTTTCTAGCGTTGTAAGTTTGCATACATTCCACTGTACCACTGGGGGACTCTACCCACTGCAAGTCTCTTGATTGTTGTACTAGTGACATTTTTCATTTGAAAGTTTGTTTGTTTGTTTGTTTG